TCCTTCCGCCTCAGCCTTCCAAGGAGCCGGAATTACAGGCATGCGCTCCCACGCCCGGCTCATTTTCTGATTTATTGTAGGCATATGATAGCTATATTGGAATAAGCTATATTGGAATAAGACACTATGTCCACAACGGACTTCCAGTTTTAAGAAGGAAACAGAAATGGAAACTATATACAGAACAGTGGCACTAGTTAAAGGATTGGCTTGTGTTGGAGTAAATATTTACACCATGGATCTCAGGAAAAATTATAGGAACTAGTCGGGCTTGGTGGCTCAGCCTGTAATCCCAGCGCTTTGGAAGGCTGAGGTGAGTGGACTGCCTGAGCCCGCGGGTTCGAGACCTGCCTGGGCAACTTGGTGAAACCTCATCTCTACAATAAAATAAAAAAAATTAGCTGGGTGTGGTAGCGCGCGACTGTAGTTCCAGCTACTTGGAAGGCTGAGGCATAAGGATCGCTGTAGCCCAGCAGGTCGAGGCTGCGGTGATCGGGAGCGGCCACTGCACTCCAGTCTTGGTGACAGAGTGAGACTCCAACTCAAAAAAAAAAAAAAAAATTATAGGAACTATTTGAAATAAAAAAGATAGAGTATGTCAACTGACATGCAGTATTTATACTTGATTAAGCTGTGACTTTACACATTTTGTAACCTGAAACCACCATTACAACATATTTGTTTAAAAAGAAAATCAAAACTTGCTGACTTAGTTAACCCTTTATTTTTTTGCTAAGGCTTAAAGTATGTTGCATGCATCCATCAAACCACCCTATGACATGCAAATTAACTCAATCTCTGTATTTCAGCATTTCCTGAATCACCTAATACTACTGAAGATAGTTAAAATATTACTTCTGATACTTTTTATAATTTGAAATTCCTAAAAAAGGTTGTAGGGAAGGGAAGTAAGGTGGCGACCTTCCATCAAAATCATTAGTTTTAAACTTACTGTCCAGAGAGCGTAGCTTACTGATTTCTCCCTACTTCCAGGAGAATCAAGACACTACGCTGCACTTCAACTTACATGCCTATGTGTGTTTCTATTAGTATGTGTGCTGCTAATTTCGCTTATGAACCAGATTATGTATAACCTTTAAAAAAATATTTAAACAGCCGGGTGCGGTAGCTCATGCCTGTAATCTCAGCAATTTGGGAGGCGGAGGCGAGAGGATTGCCTGAGCTCAGGGGTTCGAGACTAGCCTGGGCAACATGGTGAGACCTCGTTTCTACAATAATTCAAAAAATTAGCCAGGCATTTTGGCATATGCCTGTAGTTCCAGCTACTTGGAAGGATGAGGTGGAAAGATCGCCTGAGCCCCCCAGGTCAAGGCTGCGGTGGCTGTGAGCATGCCACTGCACTCCAGCCTGGGTGACAGAATGAGAATACGACTCAAAAAAAAAAAAAAATATATATATATATATATATATATATATAAAGCCAAAAGTGTAAAAAACCCAAATGTTCATTGAATGAAGAATGGATAGTGTGGTAAATCCACACAATGGAATATTATCTGGCCATAAAAAGGGATGAAGTACTGATATATGCTTCAAGATGGATGAGCCTCAAAAACATCATGCTAAGTGAAAGAAACTTGACACAAAATGCCACAGATTGTATGATTCCATTTATATGAAATGTCCAGAATCAGCAAATCTATAGAGGCAGAAAGCAGATTAGTGGTTGCTGAGGGATGGAGGAATGGGGCCTGCTGCGCTAATGAACACAGTGCTGCTTCTGAGGATAAGGAAAACGTTCTGAAATTAGATCGTGGCGATGACTGTACGACTTCATGAATATACTAAAAACGATTGAACTTCGCACTTTAAAAAGATGAATTTTATGGTATGTGAATTATATCTCCAATTTTTGAACATAAAAATACGGCTAATCACAAAAACACTAAAGCGCTACTGATTTTTAAATAAGTCACTGAGTTTTGGTGAGTCTCCATTTGCTTACCTCTAAAATAAATGGGTAGGGTCAGATGCTCTCTTTCATTCTTCTAGCTTTAAATATTAATGGTTTTACTTGGAATATAGTGGAATTTCATAACTTGGGAATTTCTCACAGTAAGAACTTTGCCTGTTATCTGAAATATGGAGCTGCAAGTAAAGATGCCTACATTCTGTTCTTGGACAAGTACTGTCTGACTAACATGAAGCATGTCGCTTAAGATGTCAAAACCCATGCTTTAGGTTTGTTTTATTTTTATTTCTTTTTTTTTTTTTAAGTTGGAATCTCACTCTGTTGCCCAGGCTGAAGGGCAGTGGCATGCTCACGGCCACTGCAGCCTCAACCTGCTGGGCTCAGGCAATTCTTCTGCCTCAGCCTTTTAAGTAGCTGGAACTACAGGTATATGCCACCATGTCTGGCTAATTTTTTGATTTATTGTAGCGATGAGGTCTTGCCAAGTTACCCAGGCTGGTCTAGAACCCGTGAGCTCAGGCGGTCCTCTCACCTCGGCCTCCCAAAGTGCTGGGATTATAGGCGTGAGCCATTTTATTTCATTTAAAAAATTAATTATTATTATTATTATTTTTTAGAGATGGGGGTCTCACTATGCCCAAGCTGGACTCTAACTCCTAGGCTTGAGCAATCTTCCCAAACTGGGAAGATTGCTTTCTGAGCAGCTGGGACTACAGGCATGTACCATCATGCCTAGCTTGTTTTTTATTTTTTGTTTTATTTTATTTTTAATTTTCATTTTATTTTATTTTTGAGTTGGCGTCTTACTCTGTCACCCCTGCTGGAGTGCAGTGGCACACTCATGGCCACCGCAGCCTTGACCTGCTGGCCTTAGATGATCCTTCTGCCTCAGCCTTCCAAGTAACTGGAACTACAGATGCACACCACCACGCCCATCTAATTTTTGTGATTTATAGTAGAGATGAGGTCTCACCAAGTTGCCCAGGTTGGTCTCGAACCCCCAGGCACAGGCAATCCTCTTGCCTCGGCCTCCAAAGTGCTGGGATTACAGGCTGAGCCACCATACCCAGCTTGTTTTTTATTTTATTTTATTTTTTTAAGGGAGTAAACACTTCTCTTTAGAAATAAGGAGGAAATCCAACTCCTTGATAAAACGAAAGATGTCATCAGGATAAAAAGCAGAAGCAGTGCAAACCAACGGAATTCAGTTGACCAGCTCCTAACACCATAAAATACGCTTTATCTAAAACAAAAGTTTCCTCTTAAAGTGGGAGCAGTTTAAATATTATTTCTACTCCACTTTTCCTGAGTTTCACATGATATCTGTAATATTTTTGTCATCTTTCTACATTAGGGTTTTCAAACTATTCATCTGCAACTACTGAGGTCAAAAAACTAAATCCCACAGGGATTCGTACCTATTTTAAATAAGCAATTGGTTCAAGTAACCAAATACAAATGTCAGATGACCCAAGCTGCAGAACCAGACTGATGGCCAACTGGATGGGACAAAGGACAGCTGCAGAGATGTGACACAAAAAAGTTTCAGGCTGCTTCAACTAAAGAATGAAAAGGAAATAAAACTACATTTGAGATATGAAAGAACATTTTAGTGTTTTAACCAATTGCCAGTAAGCAACTCACGCAAATCACTGAATAAAATAAGAAATCCCCAAAGCCAAATATAAGTTTCACAACAAACCACATGAGAAGACAAGGATATGATGGTTTGGAAAATCCTTGTAATTATAAGCGACTCTTTCCTAGTCACTCCCAACCTCCTCTACCCTTCATCTCTGCCATCTCAGAAAACGGCAGCTCCACCCTTGATCAGATCCCACATCAACCTGGTAGGAAATCCTGTTGCCTCTACCTCGAAAAGGTCCATAGAAGAGAACACGTCTTACCACCTCTACCACTATCGCATCATAATTCTCTCTTTTCAAAAAAATTTATTATTTATTTATTTATTTATTTATTTTGAGTTGGAGTCTCACTCAGTCGCCCAGACTGGAGTGCAGTGGCTGCTCCCGGCCACCGCAGCCTCGACCTGCTGGGCTCTGGCGATCCTTCCGCCTCTGCCTTCCAAGTAGCTGGAACTACAGGTGCGCGCTACCACGCCCGGCTGACTTTTTGATTTATTGTAGAGATGAGGTCTCGCTTGCCCAGGTGGGTTGCGAACCCGCGGGCTCAGGCAATCCACTCACCTCAGCCTCCTAAGGCACGGGATTACAGGTTGAGCCACCAAGCCCAGTCTCTTACTTGAATTATTGCAATGTCCTCCTAACTGGACTCCCCAGTCTCCAACATTGTCCCAAATACAATCTACTCTCAAAAGCAAGTAGAGAGATTTTTTTCAAATGAGTTGCCCAGTGATGTCATCTGTCTGTTCAAAGTTCTCTAAAGATTTTCAATTTCACTCAGAGTAAAAGCCAGTCTTATCAGTCTTTGTAAGCCTGATAAGAACTGGTTTCCTATTTCTTCTCTGGCTTCATGTTCCATTATGCACTCTGTTCTAGCAACATAGGACTATGTACACTTGTTCAAATTTGTGCCCCAGGGCCTTTGCACCTGCTGCTCCCCAGTTATCTGCAGGGCTCATACCTGGCTAAGAAGTCTGTTAAAATGTGCCTTGCTGAAACCTTCTCTAACTCTCACCCTTATCTCTCAATACAGGCTTCATTTTTCTCAAGAGCACTTACTACCTTCTAATATACAGTTTGCTTATTTACTTTATTTGTAATCTGTCTGCCCTCATCAGAACATAGACTCTTCGAGGGCAAGGTTTTGGTCTTTTTACTTACTTGTATCCTACTCCCTAGGGCAATAGATGCTCACTAAATAATGTGTGGAATGAGTGTTACGTAAACTCACCGGTGTCCCCCAGGTCAGTGCTCTGAAGAAATGTACGGCAGCGCTCCTTGTGCTCTTCAAGGGAACTTCTCTGCTTGTAACTCCTTCCACAAAACTCACATTTGTAGGGTTTCTCAACTAGAAGAAGAGCACAAGGGGCACTCAGCGACCCTTAGGGGTTCCATATAGATGGGTTATTGGGGCTCTGTGGCAACTGTTCACTAGAAATGAGACTGCTAAGCAAAGCCAGAGTATTTGGATATTTTGAATCTATATTACTTTTAAGTTTAGTAAGCTGAAATAAGGTTATGGTTTATGATTAATTATTATGTCAGATATTCTTTGAAAGGATTGCCTCCTGTCACAGACAACAGGATTTGGATTTAATGATTATCATTTAGGGCAGTGTTTTGGCTCCAGGTCAAATCTTGTTTCTTCAGGAAAGAGAAAATAAGGCTCGTTCATTCTTCAAAGAGGTTAGTGTGGTATAAGAATGAGATAGAAAGGGATTTCTTATTTTGTGGCTTCCACCTGGCTGTAAGTAAAAACTGCCTTGACTTGTGGGAGCTAGACATTCAGGTAGAAACTGATGGCCCTGTTAGAACACCGACATATTTGATAAATTTAGCTCATCCTTGCCAAATGGCTATGGTAAAGCCTGGGTTAAAACAATAAAACTGACCTAATTAACTAAGGATATTTTTGAATAATAGAAATTAAAATGAATTATAAAAATGACTTCATCTAAACGTCTAAGATGAAGCAAAAGATTCCTCAAAAGTTCACCCATACGATTCAAGCAACCTTGATCCTCCTCACTCCCTACATGCTTTATTGCTTGGAATATAAATAATAACTTCAACTCTGTATGAGGCTGGCCTTTCTGACTGTTGACAAAATATATACAATAAATTTGTCGGTTTTAGAGACTGGAATTTTTGTTTCCTAACTCCTCTTGCTCAGTTTAAAAAAGAGACTTTGGGATTTAAAGCACTAAAAGATCCTTATGGAATCCCAAATTAAAACAAATGCAGGTTTGCTAGGCTAAAAATGTTAAGTTTCTGCATAAATTGCATCCTCTAGAAACTGTCTTTAAAATGCCTACTCTTGTTGTTTCTTATTTGAAAAAGGCAACAGAAGAGAACTATTCTAGTTTTTTTGAGCCAAACTCATCCTTAATTCATTACTCTGGAAAAATGAGGTGTAAATTACAAGAAAGAAAACCTTCCTTTTCTACTTATGATTTCTCATAGTGGGTTTTGTTGGTGCTGATTTGTTTAATCCTAGTCGCTGACTTGTAACCAGTTTCAAGTTTGGGGTTCGATTTTAGTCAACTCAGTAGATGTGAATTGACATAAAAACAAACCTTTTTTTTTTTTCAATTAAAATTTTGTCAGATAACATCAAGAACAAAAGGTCCCAAATTTGAAAATAAGCTCAGTCTTATTTTTCTCGGAGGGAAATTCTAAATGAAAAAAAAAAAAAAAAAAAGATTATCTTGCTTGGCCAAATAAGGAGTAAAAATATCAAGAGAGTACATGGCTTTTTATGAATTCTTTTTTTTTTTTTTTTTTGAGTTGGAGTCTCACTCTGTCGCCCAGACTGGAGTGCAGTGGCTGCTCCTGACCACCTCAGCCTCGACCTGCTGGACTCCGGAGATCCTTCCGCCTCAGCCTTCCAAGTAGCCAGAACTACCAGCGCACGCTACCACACCCAGCTAATTTTTTAATTTATTTTAGAGATGAAGTCTCGCCAAGCTGCCCAGGCGGGTCTCGAACCCGCGGGCTCAGGCAATTCACACACCTTGGCCTCCCAAAGCGCGGGATTACAGGCTGAGCCACCAAGCCCGAATTTTTATGAATTTTTATGAATTCTTATTGCTGCTCATCTTTTAGATTAAAAATAAGTAGACTGAGCTGGACACAGTGGCACACACCTATAATTCCAGAGCTTTGGGAGGCTGGGGTGGGAGGACTGCTTAAGCCCAGGAGTTTGAAGCGGCAATGAGCTATGATCACACTACTGTACTCCAGTCTGGGCAACAGAGGGAGACCCTGTCTCTTAAAAAAAAAAAAAAACCCGCGCC